ACTTCAACATGGCTGGCTGGGGGATTCTGGGAGTTGAAGTCCACACATCTTCAAGTCGCCACGGTTGAGGAACCCTGCTATAGATTCTAAGTGCGTCATGAATGCTTTCACAGTCTTTTCCTCACCTTTCATCCAACTGTCATGAGTGCTGCAAAACAAAGATGAGAGGCAGAACTTCAAACAGAAGATGCTCGGGCAGGCTGATACTCAAGATCCAGCTATAAGTTGCAATTCAGAAGTTAAGCTAGGACTGTAGAGTCCTCCCCCATGCATTAGGAAGCTTAGTGGGTGACCTTGGGCTGCTCCTTAGGTCTTACCAAAACCAACCTCATAAGACTGTTGTTGGGTTAAAGTTGGAGGAAAAGTACCATTTAAATTTCACTCTGTCTTGTGCCTGACCCATTTTTTTTCCTTCCCACCCACCCCCTTGCAGATTGGAGAAATAGCTTAAACACACTCTCTCATCCTAAGCAGCTTTTCTCCACAGCGCAGTACTTCCCTAAAAAGTGCTAACAGCAAGTTAACACACCCAGCTTTGTAACCTTAATTGGTTGATTAGAACCCTCCCAGTCTGTGCTATCTGAAACTGACAAGACCCTAATCAGTTTCACATTAAAGGCTTTCTTTGGCCTCCTAAGCCAGAGCTCACTAGGCAAACAGCTGGCACTAGTGCATTGCTTTCAATGTGTATTCCCCGCTGTGCCTGCTTACTCTCTTCTAATCCCTTCCTCTTCAATGAATGTAAATACAAACATCGATTCTCTTCTTGCCAATTATCCCAGCACTGCACGAGCATTACAAGGGGAGGGGGAGGGGGGAAAGGATTATAAGATTTGCCCTTTTACCCGGTTTCCTTTTGAGGCCAGTCCCAGAAACCTTCCCTGGAAGATTTGGGCTCACCTGACTGTTCTGGTTTGTATCTTTCGGACACTGTAAATATACTCAGGGACAATTTATTAATAAACCTTTTTCAAGATTTATTACTGTCCTGGCGTCTCCCTTAGTGTTCTCGTTTTTTGGTATCTGTCCTGCAAATTCTAAATTAAGCGTTGATGCACAGATTAACGGCAACACACATGCAGCGTTTCTGGGCTGTCAAAAGAGGACAAAGTCTACCCCAAATGGTACTTCTTTGTTAGTCAAGTTATAAGTAATAATATCAGCTATTTAACTGGTGACAGGGAGTGACTCTTGCTCCAATCAGTCTTGGTTTCATGGCCAATAATGTGATCTATGAAGTATCTTATGAAATCTGTCCTTAGAAATTGTCTTTATGCAGCCAGAACGCAAGAAAGTGACTCAAAAAGGGAAACATCCTAGAAGAAACCAACGGCCAATCAGATACACATTGTTGATAAGAAAACAATAGGAACATGGTCAGGAGTTGAGTTTAATTTTAAGGTGGCTTTATATTTATAGGCCCTCCAGGGCACCATAAGGCATTTTGAAGCTGATGTGGACACACCATCAGCAGCTCCTTAATTCAGACACACATTTTCCCCTGGACACTGCAGCTGCCCTCTGAGCCCAGGAGAACAGGTGACTCCTTTAAGGAGGGACAGATGGGTATGGAGTGCATGCCATGCCTGTCTGGCATACCCCTTTGACTTCAAGTCCAAAGTGCTGCACATTCATATTTTATTTTGCCAAGTAACACGAACATGTTAGCTTGGATCCATGTCCATCTATGGCAGGTGAGACTTACCACATCTTTAAAAGCCCCAAGTATGGCTGCTGTGATTATGCCAAGGAACAAGCCAACAATGTTCAAGACGGTGGATGACCAAAGCAGTCGATACAGGTGAACGACATCCTGACAGCTGCTCACACCAAGGAATTCGTAATAGCTGGCAGAGTGTTCAGAGCTGGAAACAGGGTGTGAGAGCTTTAGCAACTGATGAAAAGCAAGATGACGCCATTCCAGCTTTGCCATTTCTCTCCTACAGTAGTGGCTCCTTTGAAATCACATCTGTCAGAATGGACTAACTCCTCCTTTTCCTGCTCTCCCTCCAACAATAGCTCTCAGGGTAAACTAGCAAGATGCCTGGTATTAAAATCTATAGCAAGGTGCTAGATATCATGGTTTTTTTTTTTACTGAAATGAATGCAAAGAACACGAACACATTTGTAATCTTAAGGAAGAATACATTTTTTAAAAAAATTCCATATTTTTACCCAGAAAAGCATGTGTATAGCTAATCTTTCGTGACTTCTAACCCTTGTATTAGCTATTGCCCTCATGACCCCTTATCTGGACTACTACAATGCACTCTACGTGGGGCTGCCCTTGAAGTGCATTTGGAAACTTCACTTGGTGCAGAAAGCAGCAGCATGGGTAGTAAATGGTGCCAGTTATTCAGTATGTGTAACATCACTACTCCATGAACTGCATTGGTTGCCACTGTGCTCCTGGGTGCAATTCAAGGTGCACCTTTAAAGCCCTTTGTGGCTTGGGACTGGGTTACTTGAGGAACCGTCTCTTCCCAGTTGTTTCGACCCCTCTGATCTGGTCAGAAAGGATGGGCATGCTTCAGATCCCGTCGGCCAAAGAATGTTGGTTGGCAGAGCCTAGAAGACATGCCTTTCCCGGCATAGCGCCCAGCTTGTGGAACATTCTACCTCCGGAGATCAGGATGGCCCCAACCCTGCTGGCCTTTCATAAGGCCCTGAAAACCTGGTTCTGTGCCCAGGCCTGGGGCCCTGAGGGCGTACAGGGACCATCGGCTTGGTTATGCCTATGGTTATATTTGGGTCGATGTTGTCCAGCCACTGTTTATTTTAACTTCTGTAATGTTTATAATTGTTTTTATTTTATTTTAGCTTCATTCGCCGCCCAGAGTCACTTGTTGAGATCGGGTGGCCATATAAATTGGATAAATAAATAAATAAATAAAGTGTAAACTATTAACGAAAATGTTAATACAACAGATTTGAATTAAATTTCCCTTAACTGTAGGGTCATTTAAATTGATTTGCTGTTAATTTTTCAGCGAAGGTGCTTTCCCACACTTTTAACTAGCATTGATTCAAAGCAAGATGCACTTAGGGTTTCCATCTTGGGCAAGGGAAAATCTGATAATCATGACAAAAGCTGGTTTGAATTGAAAGGTCATGCTTAATATAATGTCATTTCAAAGAGTGCAATTCCATATCTCGATGACTTGTCCAAATCCTTACAAGGGCTCTTGTGCAAAAGAATCCATGGGCTTTCAAATCTTAAATCATTATCTTTCCACTGTTTCATGGACACGTATTACACACATTATTACTGACACGTACTATTACATTGTAAATTTTATAGGGACATTAGGTCAATCTACATCTTGCCCCTAATAGGTAAATTTCACGGGAGTCCAGATAACTTTTATGTGAACCATCTTCTTCAAGATTTAAAACCACTCATTACGTGTGCAGTAGCTAAATTTTGTGTTGCTGCAATGAAAGTAAGACGAAACCAGTTAATGATATAATTACCTGTGATCTAAATATTACTTCTGGTTTGATATATCTTAATCAATAAATTGTTAGGGTTTTTTTTTTATTTTATACTTATTAATATTTTAGATTTATATTACTGAGGTAATAAATGTACCATTATAGTAATAGAGGAATGAATGTTATACCATTACTGTATGTGATTTATTTTGTTAGCTGTTAGTATATTATTGTATCCATTAATACAATAATTCACTCTGTTTCGTTTTTTTTTTTCCATTTTTTAAAATTTTGCTGGTCATTGACCGAATAAATATTGATTGATGATTGATTGATTCTACTGTTTCATGGACAAATTTAGGTTTATCCTTGGGATTGTTTAAGATATGCTTCATAAATAAGCTTCAGTGGATGGGACTTAAACATGGCATATCTAGGCCCTTAGATGTTCCCTGCGTATTAACAAATCAGAGCTACCCCCTTATCGACTTTTTGCATGAAACAGAAAAAAATGAACTTATGATTTATGGTTTTGATGATTAGACAGGATAGATTATAGAAAAAAATGAGTTACGCTGTAATCGTAGAGCAAGAAGTAAATTTATAATTGAAACTTATAACTGCTGTAAAGAAAATGGGAAGCTTCTTCTTTGTAGTTTCTTTCTGTCTTTGCTTTTGCACTTTCAGTTCTTTCTTTGATCTCCTGTTCCTTTTTCTCTTTTTCTTACTCTATATTAGATTCTATTAGTTTTTATCTTGTTCTTTAAAAGTTTTAATAAAATTATACTTAAAAAAAAAGAATCTGAGCTACAAATGCAAAAATAAACAAATGATACCATTAAACGGCATGCTAAAGGATCCATTTAGGCAAAAAGAATAAAAACATACAAATAAAGTGTGGCCAAGAAGTTGGTGGAAAGCTGGAGCGGTCTATTTCTCCATGAAAAAAGGATTTACAACACTCCTTTTCAGCTGGCTTTGGGGTTGGGGACATCGTCTGGGGTTCTGTGGTCTTCTGCAAAACGTGGCATCTGGCAAACCTTTGAGAGGGGGACGGTTACAGAGCAAGCAGAAGGTAAGTCTTAATGAAGAACCTGAACAGGATTCCAGCGGTTGATCTATTCAGTTGACATCCCTGGGCCATGTTGTTATTACCCCTTGGATTCTATCAAAACCTCATCAGTCCAGGGTTAGGTTAGGGTAGTGTTGTCCAAACTTGGCCACTTTA